TCTTTTTTTTTTTTTTTTTTGTCTTTTTTCGTGACTGGCAACGGATCGCAACCCTCAGTGTCGCGCCCGTACCGGACCGGGACCGGCTACGGGATTGCAACCCTCGGTGTTGCTCCTGCACCTTGCTCAGCCAGTGAGCGGCGGTCTGTATGTAGGATCCGAACCCTCCGCGGGAGCGCCGCCGCGCTTCCCAAGCGGCGCACTGTAGCAGTGCGCCACCGGGCCGGCCCTCATTTCATCTTTCAATTGGATCAATATCAGCAACCTGATATTGGAAGGCCATCTCCATATTTAGCCCACCTTCCTATTCCAAGTGGTATGTTCCAGAAGGAAAGTTCCATGCAGGAAAAGAGGGGTCTGTGCAAAAGTATGCCCTTCAACGAATTTCCACAGCATTCTACATGTTCCAACACAAAATCAACAGAAAAGAGTGCAGCTTGGTCAGTCCCCTGACCAAGGCCAAGAAGGCAGATGAGAACAAGAGAGAGATACTGGCTTGCTGATGTCGGTCTTACATCAATGATGAGTACATTAATTTCTTAAAGATGCCTCATCACAGGGGTGTCATAAGTTGCGGTGCCATGCCCGTGCTCTCTCCTTTGGTCTTTGAGGTATTCCGCCTAGAACAGGCAGCAAGACAGCAAAGCCAGAACGGGGAGAGCCCAGCACAGCAGAAGCACCCTTGGGAGCTCCCCGTGAAGATGTTGATCCTGAGGCAAGCCTTTCATGGGAAGTGACCCCACGGAGGCTGGGCTCATAAAAGGACAGGTTGGCCCCATTCACCACACCATAAGATTTATTTAGGATCAGAAATAGAAGTCTATGGATTTTCAAAAAACAGTAAAGTTTTCCAAATTACAATATCAAAGTCATTTCTTTGTTTTTAACTTGATAATAGTATGACCTTGGACATTTAAAAACATATTAACATTTTTTTACATTAATAGGTTCTTGTTATATTTCATGACTCTTAGAGATTCCATTGTTTTTGTGGGCAATCTCATATCTTGGTATTAAATGCTTATGCAGTTCCAATAGTTTACAGTAAAAATATTGCATAGGGATTTAAATAAAAAAACTTTAAAAAAATTATATTTGCTTGTCAGCAGTCATCTGAACCTCCTGTCTTTTTGTAATTCCAACTTGTTTTGTCATTTGGCTTTACTATTTTGTATATTCCAAAAGATTGGAATTCCATGTTTGGTATTGCTGAAAGTCAGTAACATACAACATCCAAATGTATCCCAAACCTATTTCTTCTAATAAACACTTGTGATAACAAACAATGAAGAAGAATATAGGATCTCTAAATTGGAGGAGCAATAAGATGTTCTTGAGCTAAAGTCCTCTGGGACCAAACTTACTCTCTAAAAGATCTGGTGGTAGATCAGGGGGTGGGGTGAGGGTGTCTCTGAGCTAAAGTCTGAAAACCTGTCATAACTTAAGGAGATTCTAGATAATTGGTCTAACAAGGGAAATTAGGTCATGCAGTAATCTGGTTGGGCAACACATTTCTGAGTCCATCTTCTCACTAACATGAAATCTGCTAGAATGAGTTATTCTCCCTCATCCTGTCCATGCCTTGATCAAACACTTGTCACACCAAATTGTAATTATTTATCCACGAACATCTGCTCATTACTAGTTCCTAGCCCAGGCATTCAATATATGTATGTTGAATGAAAGAATAAAGTTTCTTTCACATGGTTGGGTTCTGGAAGTTAGAATTTCATGACTCCTGCATGTTAACAAGTCTCCCAGAGGTGACTCAAGTATAAATCAGACTCTCAGGATGTAACTCTTACTGCCTGGAGAGAGGTTCCAATAGAACCTCACAAACTGAAGTTTTTGTCATGTGAAGATAATTAAGCGCACAGACACCCAGACACATACCCTTAAAGGGAAAAGTGGAGAACTAGAAAGTTCTAGACAGGTTATAGGGAAACGAGAGACGGTCCTGGGCACACTTGTTACAACTTTTCAAAGCTCTGTCGTGCTATTATAGTATCTCTTTGGTTGTTAATACAGCACGTTCATTCTGGGAATCAATTCTGCAAGGTGTGTAGAATCTCCTCACAGTAGAGCTGCTGCCCGCCCATCTGCATTACCTGGCTGCTCAGTCTGGCTGCCTTCTTGGCCATTTCGATGTCTGGGCGACCCAGCATGCTTAACCCATGGCTGCCTTCCTTGCGGTGCTTGGCTCTGTACTCCACCTGAATCACAGAAAACCAAGATGGCCAACAGATTCGAGGTGATGGGTGCCTTGTACTGCTTGGCAGTGCCGTTGGGGACTGGGGACGTTTTAACTATACCCTTACCTCACTGGCCTGTTTGGCTGCCTGCGTGGCTTTCTTGATGTCTGGCCGATCAGCCACTGTGGTGTAATGCAGGTTTTCTTTGGCATCTTTTCTATAAGCAACCTTTATTTGGGGAAGAAAACTTTTACTCACTTGAGAGATAGGCTATCTTTCCAAAAGTTCTCCTTAAGTACAAGCAGCTTTTTTTATTGAAAAACAAACCAATTCCTACAACGATAGTTTTTAAACTACCAGATAAAAGAAATTAGGGTGACCACACCCTAGAACAAGAGCAAGCACCAGTTTGGGATCCACTGCCTGAAATGGGCCCCGAGAGTGTTTAGAGGGGACACTTACATCACTCTGTTTCTTGGCCACTTCCATAGCATGTTTCACTTCTGGTGGCTCCAGCATGATGGAGTAGTCGGATTTTCCTTTCTCCTTGACAAACTTCTTCTTGTAATTTGTCTAAACAGAGCCAGAATTACTTATGTGAGCAGAGAAATCTGGGAACAGAATCAGTTTACTTGAAGAACCGTGAGAAGATCTCCAGGAAAATATATTTTGGCATCAGTCTGGGACTTTGATCTCTGGCTCATATTCTGATTCCTCCCTGTCATTTCTGTGCTATGCATTATTGATAAAGACATAGCGGGCAGACATTACTGAGGCACAGAGGGGTGATTTCACCTCTCCAAAATTGTTTCACAGTTTAGTGATAGAAGAGACCACTCTTAGTCAGCAACGCTTCCTCCCAATTTTAACTAGGTTAGTAACATCTTACATTGTTAGATAACATGTCCCATAGCAAAACCCACATCTGCCATAATTGCCATAATTGGACAGCCAATAAATATTGGGTCCTTTTTAAACAAGAGTCTAAGATTCATATACAGGTGTTGATGGTAAGAGAGAAGGCTACATAAAGGAAAACATTTGTAAGCAAAAAGCAGCTTATAGTCTTTTATTAGATTCTAAGGTAAAGTGGAATTGCTGCTGCTAAGAGACCTGTGGCTGGTCACTTACATCACTGACATGCTTGGTCACTTCCTTGACATGGACAGTGTCCCGGGTCTCCGGCAGTGTTGTGTATGAGCCCTGGGCCAAGCGCTTCTTCACGTAGTCTTTGTACTTGTTCTGGGGGAATCCACAGAGCTTGTTAAGGCATCTGCCTGTGGCCTTACCACATGGAAGCAGAGCATGTGGGCTGCTGGGGGGTTACCTCGGACACCAGATTGCTGACAGTCTTCGCCAGGAGGATCTGAGGAGTGTCAGGCACTGCACAGCAGGTTCCTCTTTCCTTGACATGTTTCTCTTTGTATTTCAGCTGCAGGGGTGAAAAAAAAAAAAGCATTTCTCTATCTCTTCTGGGTATCCTGCATATTTTTATTAAACCTCCAAATCACTAGAATATAGCTGGGAGAACAGCATCATTGACAAACTAGTAACACAAGACTCAATAAAAGATTTGATGTTTGGAAATCTTAGGATATATTCAAAAGGAGTTTTTCCTTGCAAGTTGATGTTTTAATAACAATCAAAGTGGATCTCGTGATGAATCTTTATACAGATAGACTTTAGTTTGAAGCATTTTCAAATGCTATCTGACCCTCTTTTAAACCCTGGGAGGCACTATTATTTCTTTTTTATAGATGAAAAAGAGTATAGGAAGAGTATGATTCCACCGAAAACAAATAGTTAGGTTTTATATAGAATCTAACCAGACCTTCAGATTCCTAGTCCCTGCTATGTGAACTCTGGTGGTGCAGTGTAAATCAGGAATGTCCCCTGGACTTATGGCCTTGGCACTGCTGCCACCCTCTTTGACCATGTCACTGGGATGCATTGAGGGCAGGGCCACATTTCAGGACCCACACCTGAGCTCCTACAGAAGCAGCCCTCCTCTGTCCTTTTCTGGGTGTCCCTGAGGACTGTACCACACATGGCCCTGGGTGAGGTTGGGCATTGTAGAAGTGACTGGATACTTACCTCACTTTCTATTAAAGAATTCCTGAGGGCCAGCACCATGTCTTTATCATCAGTGACAGAAAGCTTGCAACCCTTGAGGAATTCTCGATCCAGTTTATATTCAAACTGTCACAGAAGAAAGGCAGAGGAAGAAGGAAAGGGTCAGCAGCGTAGGAGGAAGAGGGCATTTGATTAAACCCATGGGGAGTCCTCTTAAGGACACCATTAGGACTTGCCACCAGAATGCAGGGAGGGCTTCCTGGCCCCTCACTGCTTGCTGAGTTCCTCTCCAGCCCAGCTGCCAGGACCAAGCCCTCCCAGCCCCACTCTCCCTGCAGACTCTCTCCAGCTGCAGTCAGGACCCAGTCATTTGTGTCTGGGCCCAGCAGGAAGAGAAGAGGCTCTGGGGCTATTTTGTCGCCTGAGCTTGCCTTTCACTCCCTCGACCCTCTGCTCCATGGATCTCAAATAAGCCAGGGCTAACACCACAGCAGAGGTTGCTGTGAATCCTGATTCATTTGATTTCTCATTTGTGCCACGCAGTTACAATGATCTGTCTGCAAGTCTCTCATATCTTACATCACTTTGCTGCAGGGATGACTTGGCGGCCTGGATAAAGTCCGGTCGGTCAGGGATCCACCTCCAGTGGGCTTTGTTGGCTTCATACTGCTTCTTGTAGTCCAGCTGTTTTTAACAAGATAGAAAGACATCACATCATTCAGTAGGCCGAATCCCCAAACACCCACATGGCACAGAGGGACTCTTGCATTTTAACATACCAGAGATCACAGTTCCTAATGCAAGAGAAAACCCCAATTAAAATTCCTGTATAATTTATGTAGCTAGTCGGCCACTCAGAGGTCATCTGTTAGGACCTTTTGGTCCCAAAATAGGGGCTAGAGAGTTTTAAAAGGCCTCAAGGTAAAACGATTCTACAATCTAACTCTTTCAGTCCAGCCGAATCACCTTCGGAGTCAACTACTTTTAATTTTTAACTAAATCGAAGCTTATTTTTTAAAATAATATCAAACACTTAAGGTATTTATTTCATGCCAGGCACTTTTCTAAGTGCTTTATAAAATATAAAGTAAATAAATTATAAAGTTTCATGAAATTAACTCATTTAATCTTCATGAGGACTGCAGGAAATAGACAGCTGAGGAACTGCCTAGAAAGGTTAAGTAAACCTGCCGTAGGTGAGACAGCTAATAAATGGGGAGCTGGGATTCAAACCTGGGCCGTCTGGCTTCAGAGTGCTTGTGTGCTTGTTAGACTTTCACCAGGGCTGAAGAACTGGCTGCACCAAGTCACATTTGAGCCACAGAAACAGATGTAATTTAATTGGACTGTCCTTGGGAGGGGCCCACAGTAGCAGGCACATTTCTTTTCTCATTCTTTCTCTCTCTTTTTTATTACTGGGGTATAATTTATACACAATACAATGCACATGCTTTTATGTCTGCTATTTGAGGAGTGTTTTTCCATTTTACTGTGAACAATTTCAAACATACAGAAACGTTGAAAGAATATTGCAGAGAATATCCGTACAACCTCCCCCTGGATTCTGCGACGTCCATTTGACTGTATTTGCTTCATCGCACATCTATTCCTCTATCCTTCTACCCATCCCTGAATGCATCCTCAGGACACCCGCAAGTTACCTGCCAGCTCCAACAGGCATCTCAGCTTGCTGACCCTAATGTTCTCTCTTATACCAGTGAGCACTAGTTCAGCGATAATGGTTTCATTGAACTATTTACATATTTTTAAAAGTCAAACATGTTCTCTCTTACACCAGTGAGCACTAGTTCAGCGATAATGGTTTCATTGAACTATTTACATATTTTTAAAAGTCAGTGATCATTTAAATGTACAAAATTGCCGTTGAGGTTTTAAGATATCCCACCCAAAGAAATGAGTCAGTGTGGGGATATTGGGAAAATAGAATAATTTAATCAGGCCCCCTCACCTGCCCATCCGGTTGGGGGTGGTACGGCGCATTCTTTGTAAATAAGTTTTGTGTGGGTGGAATGAGTGTGCATGGGCAGCGCCGCTACCTTGGCTGGCATTGACTGCCTTGGGTGTCCACCGTGTGTGGCCATGCTCTCCAACCTGTGGATTCCAAGGACCTGTTTGCCAGTTACCTAGCTCATAGACCTGTGTGTGAGGGGTCTTGTGACCCAGCCTGGCGTGTGAGGGGTCTGGGGACCCAGCCTGGCATGTGAAAGGTTTGTGACCTAGTCTGGACAACGGGCTTGAGTGGTTTGTGAGCTCTAGACCCAACCCTAGCTCTGCAATTGGCCCAGTTGGCAGGATCACAGGCAAGTAAAAGAGGTCAACAAGGGAGTATCTGAGCAGAAGGGAAGTCTAGGCCAACTTCCAATGGCACCAAGTGGCTCAAATATTTTGTCCTTCAGAACAAGCCGGCCTAGAGTTTGGGGCAGGAGGGGAGCACAGGGCAACAGAATGACACATGCTGAGGCACTTTCCAAAATGCAACCTTCATCTCAGAATTAGAAGTCCTATTTCTCAGCCACTTGCCACGAAGGCTGAGGGTGTAGCACCCTCAGCAAGGGGTGAGGCCAGCCCTGCTCTTCCCCAGGCTCCTTTGGTAGGATCAAAGACAGCATTTCGATTTCAGCATTATTACTCATGCCCCTGGGGCCTAACTCTTGACCTGAACTCACTAGAGCTCAATCATCTGAAGAGATGTTAAGAGAGGGCATGTGTCCTACAGAAGCTGAGAAATCTCTTATCAGGCTTAGGGAAGTTCCTGGAACTTACATTGGTGTTGACTTTGTAGGCGTCCTTGGCTGCTTTGATATGAACAGCATCTGGCTTAATGGTGCAGTTAGATTTATTTCTTTGGTAAACTTCTTTGTACTTCAGCTGTGGGAGGAAAAAGTGACAAGGTTAATTTTTACAGAAGACTACTAATATTTTTCCTTCCCCAGATCAGAACATCCCGAGTTCAGAACATCTTAAAAACTGCTGGTAGGAGAGGAGCCTTCCCCCACCACCTCACCCAGATAGAATTAGTCTTGCTCTCCTTATATGCTCCCACAGTATTAGCTGTTATCATGTCATGTCATGATTATCTATGTGCTTCATCTTTCCATTAGGTGGAACTCCTCAGTGGCAAAGACTGTGTATCATTTATCATCTCATTCCTAGTGTCAGGCACATAGAAACTTAATAAATATTTGATGAATGGATGAACCAATGAGTGCAGTCATCACCACTGTCATTGCTAGAACTATCTCCAGTAAGTTTTGGTATGTGTGGGTTTGGATGGGAGGGAGGGGCAGGTGGCTTAGCTTCTGCAGACCAACAGGTAGTCTCTCCATGCTGGGCTTGGGGCCTCTAGATTTACCCACTCTTGCTCCTCTTAAATTTCAGGGTCCTGGAACGCAATCTGGGTCTTCTCACTAATTGTTGGGGAAGGATCCTAGGTTCTAATGTTATTAAGACCAAAGCAAATTGTTCTAAGGGAACCATAGTAGGGTTTACTAAACTAATCACAAGAATAACAATTATCTGGGCTTCACCATAGACTTTACTAATTTACTCATCAGTATCTTTAGGGAAAAGGCCTAGAAATTTATATTTTTCATTAATATCCCAGGATATTCTTACAATCAGAAAGTTTGGGAAAATGAATGTAGAAGTGCTTCATTTTTCTGCAGTGTTAGGGAATGGGCTGTTACATATAAGAGATCTACCTGATAGATGTTTATGGACACCTGGTGTTCATGTTTGTGTACCAAAACTCATTTTAACATTTTTTCACACTTCTAAAAGCTTTACACATTTCTGCCTTAAGCAGTGCACTGAATGTATTCAATATTTTTTTTATGCTGACTCAAAGTCAACAGTGTGAATATATTTATTCATCCACCAAAGAATTCCTCAAATTCAGAGTATTAGAATATAACAGCTAGTTCATTCCTCTTAGGCAAGATAAAGTTTATAGGGTATTGATAGCATTTATGGCACATTGCATTTTTCAGAATGCCTCAGCAGTATCGCCCATGCTGCATGCTTTTCTGCCATGTGACCTTGCCATTTGTTCATCCAGAGGGAGCGTGTATCTCTTCACCCCTTGGATCTGAGTGTGTAAAAGATGACAAAAATGATGCTGTGTCTATTCTAGGAGTAGCCCTTAATTGACTTGGGAGCTTCCCTTTCCAACCCAGCCACTAAGCTATGAGATATCCATGACATGTGGAGAAGCCACATGGAGGGGTTCCTATGCATACAACAGCCAAGCTTCCAGCCCACAGCCATCATCGACTGCCAGCCTAGTGAGTGGGGCATCTCAGATGTTCTGGCCCAGCTGAATCTCAGATGTCTGTCAGCAGCACATGGAGTAGAACTACTCATCTGTGCCCAGTCACCCAGTCAGTTCACGGTATCATGAGCAAAATAGATGGTTGTTATTTTAAGCCACCAAGTTGTTTGCTTGTTTGTTTTGCTGGCTGATACTGGGATTGAACCCTGGACACTGGTGTTATCAGCAAGTCACTGAATTTTAGGATGGTTGATACACAGGAAAAGACAACTGGAGCAGGGTTTGATATATCACATTAGAGAGAGGCCACAGTGAGGGGACGGATAAGCCATTCTGGTACTTACATCGCTGACTTCATCTTTAACCTTGCGGACATGCAGCAACATGGGCGTGTCATGGATTGTGGTGTAGCCTCTGGGTTTGGCTTTGTTGTATTCCAATTTATAAAGTATCTGAAGGGGATTAAGAGACAGAAAGACACAATGCTATGCTATTCAATTTACAATGTAAAAATGTAAGTGCAAAGCTTGAGTGGTTTTTTGAGTGAATATAAAGGAAAGAGCATTCTATGAATTCAACAGGTGCTTTTATGGTCTCTGCTAAGGCCTCAGTGTTTCTCAAGTGGCATGTCTACCAATTTGGTTGGAACAATTCCTTATTGTGAAAAAAGGGTCCTATGCATAGCAGGACATTAGCGTCCCTGCCTCCCTCCCACTAAATGGCAGTAGTCTCCCAGCCATCGTGACCATCTAAGATGGCCCTCTACATCTGCAAATGCCCCGAGTTCAAGGATCTACTTGGGGTTTCTTGTACTTACATCACTGATTTGTTTGTTGACTTTTGTAGTACGCAGGTGTTCGGGAGTGTCCACAACTGAGGTAAATTTGTCCTTTAATTTTTCATAGTTTTCCCTGTACTTGATCTAAATTGCAAAAGAGAAGAATGAGTTAACTTTAAGTAGTAGAATAAAGGGCTTTAAGGACTGTAATTTTCCTGTTTTCACTCTGGTGAAACACCAGAGTAGGAGATGGTGTTGTGGTAGCTTTCTTTAAATCCTAACTGAAAATGTTTAATAAAATTTATATTTGATTGCAACAGTGTAATGGAGTGAGCAGATAATAATAATAATAATAATAATTTTCAATATGTTTTATACATATAGAAACTGAGGCCCCAGAAAGTTACAAGACTGAGCCCAGGGCACATATGAGTGAATCTCAGAGCAGGACCAGAATCTTGTTCTCTGGTCTCTGACAAGCAATATTTTGATCACAACATACTGCATCAAATACATATGATCTCTTAAGGTATTTTTTCATATCAAAGGTGAGACAGATGTAAAGTTAAAAATGCATATATATGGTTTGAAGTATTTATCATTTTTTAAAAATGCATTCATTTTTGTAATTTCCAAGTCACAATTTTTTTCATGCACATAAGCTGTTTCAAGCAAGACAGATACAGAGAGCACAACAAAATTTCATGCACTACTTTTTGATGATCATGATCAATCATCTCAGGACAAAGGAGAAAGTTTAGGCAAATGGGATGTTTATGGGGAGAACTCATCCTCTTCATTTCACATGTTGATTTGATGGCAAATTAAAATGATAAAACAAGTTGCTAATGCAAAAGATTGATTAGAAACTTTGTCTGGTAAAACGGCATCTTATTACCATTGCGTCTGGTACTTAACCAATTATCACTGTTGATCGCTGCTCCAAATTTACCTTTCAGCATGTGATGGGAAGGTGGTAGTGTGTGCTTCAGCTGGCCTTGTAGGAAGGCAATGTTATCAGTGACACTTTTAACAAGTGTGTCTGAGAACAGATGTGCTGGAAATAACCTAGCAATTCAGCATCAAACTGAAGAGGTGCCATGAATATGTATAACATTCAAAGAGCTGCATGGTAATACTCATCTCTCCCAAGTGCTATAGTTGCAGTGATAATTGAACAATGCAAAAATTAGATGAAAACATGAAATATTCAGACCTTTTAAATGCTGCCAAATTTACTATATCCTGTCTCTAAGGATATAGTATTTATCTGAGGCAAATACTAAAAAGTATAAATTAATGTTATACCAATTTAGAAATGATGTTTGAAGAAGTCTCAGTTAATCTTATTAGGAGTTCCAAAAGTGTCAGATGACCTACAGAGGACTGCTGTCTCATTATCACACTTGGCCACATTCAGAGCTCATTTACAAGGAATGAATATTTATGCAGCTTTGTCATGTGAAACCAGCATGGGCAGCAGGGGCAGGAACAGTTCCAAAAGTGTCAGATGACCTACAGATGACGGCTGTCTCATTATCACACTTGGCCACATTCAGAATTCATTTGCAAGGAATGAATATTTATGCAGCTTTGTCATGTGAAACCAGCATGGGCAGCAGGGGCAGGAAGAGGAAATCAATGAATGCATAAAAGGGAGTGCACCCAGGCCTTCTAAACCTCCTTCTCCACATCCCATCAGACGTTACCTGGCTCCACATGTGTGTATTGTAGAGAGCCATCAACATATCTGGACGCAGAATTTCATTACATCCTTGTTGCAGAAGTATCTTGGCTCTAGATTTATATTTTCTCTGTCCATGCAAAGAGCAGTGAAGCACAAAAGAGACTTAAGAAGACAAAAGAGACTTAAGAAGACAGAAGAGAACATGGCTCTATATCCCAGTCACCTCTGAGTGAAGAGATGTAGGCTTATATACTTTATGTACTCACATATACATGTGGGTGAAGACGCCAAATACATTATAATGTCAAGCAGAATGACGGCAGTGCTTGCAGTTGACCACCCACAGTCCTTATGAGTGGAGAATGATATTGCTAGTTTCACTTATGTTACCATCAAAATTGCTTAATCAAGAAGAAGACATCATTGGAAAAGAAAAATACCGTACAAAGTTCTGTCATTTTTTTTCCATCGATTTTTGTTCATTTGTTTTTGCAACTCAATTTGCAGTTTACAAATGGGTTCTCCAGAAGACTAAAGCGCAGGAGGACCCAGCTTCTCTTTTCATCTTCACCACAGCACAAGTGAGGACACAGAGCATGGACTGGCACACTCAAATAGCTCATGGGCTCTTTGGGTGGCTAGACAGATACTTTGAAACAAAACAGTTCAATATCATAGGCAAAAACCTATGACATCCTTGCAGCAGACGGGACAACATCTCATGAGAAACTGGGAGCACAGTCCTTCCTGGGCCGTCTGGCCAGCACATCACAGTACCTGACTGATTTGGTCGCCTGCGATCTTAGCCAGCAGATGTCTAGGCTCATCGACTACCAGGTGGTATTTATCTTTCCGCTGCTCATAATCAGCTCTGTATTTTTTCTGCTCAAACATCATATCAAATTATAGCAAGAGTACAACTTCAAAGCTACACAGAAATGTCCCAAGGTAAACACTCCAGAGAGCTAGAAATATGTCACTTTTAGAAGTGGGCTCCCAAAGCACTCAGGGCAATAAAAACAGAGAGGCAAGGAGTCAGGTGAAGGAAGATCACCTGGAGAAGGCTGGAGCTTGGGAGAGATCTGATGTATGACCCCAAAATTGGAGTACCTTGTGCCTACACGTTTTCCATTTTTACATATTATGCCATTAACAATGTTAGGTTTTATGGCATCTTAACATATTTAAAATACTGATAAGCTACAGGTTTACTATCTAAGACTGTCAGAATCCACAAGTAACTGATGCTAAAACATTTATGGAAAATTTGTAATAGTCTTTTAATGCTAATTAACTTATTTGATTATAAAAGAGACCTGGATATCCCTTGTGAAATAGAAAAATAGAAATAAAATATATTTTATTTATTAACTATCCTCCTAGGAGACCACTGACAGTAATTCTTCAGAGTTGTCCAGCCTGGAAATCTACTGAAAAAGAACTAAATCAAATTAAAGAAAAACAAAAACAAACAATAAAAAAGCCATACATTTAAATAAATATGCCATTGGCTACAATTTCATTTTTTGATTTTTACTAATTTTCTAACATTATTTTTGAACATATAAATCAGGAAAATCTGAAAATAGAAAATTAAATACAATTTTAATTATAAAAACATCCAAACATAAGTACAGTTATAACTTGCTTATTTTAGGCCTCTTGAGCTAAATTTAAATTATTGCAAAAATGGTTATAGGAAAGACTAGGTAGAATATAAAGGGAAATTTGGTGTTCAGGTGGATACTTCTGTGCAGCAATGTCCATGAGAGTAACATGGCACTATACTTGATGCATGAATCACAAACTATGCCCTTAGGGGTGGCTCTTCTAACCATTGCCATTTTGGTGCCTTAGTAGGGGTACTGAATTAACCTTGAACATCTGGGTCACCCCACTCTGCACCATATTATGTTTAAGGGAGTTCAGCCGATAGTCACTGAAGTCCATTACCTCCTTGCTGTTCTTACCCACAGGGCTGTGCTTTCCTGTGTTAGTGCAAACAGAGGTGCTGATGGCTCTAGAACCCTCGCACCACTCTAAAAGTTCCCTTCATTTGCTTTTATTTATGGTTTTGGTAGAGCCCTTTGGGTAGTGACATTATAAAGTCTTTTCCAAATCTTTATTTTAAATGAATACTTAGGATGGCTTTACTGACATTCTAGTACTGGGTTTTAATCAAATAATGCAATAGTAAGAGAACTGAGTAGGCTGAATTGAATCAGTTCATACATACCTCATTCATCAATTGAGTTGCGTACTTGAAGTGCCTATTGATTGGACAGTCAGCGACATAGTTGAAATCTGACTTCGTCCTTTCAAATACCTCTTTATATTTGTACTAGAGAAAATAGAACATGGTAACTTGATAACAGGCTGTGGTTATCTTAAGAATGAGACATGCTATTTATCTTATCATATAATTGTGATAATTCATTCATAGAGCTGACAATTATTTACTGAGTGTTTATTCTGTCTCCCAAGACAATGAAGACTTGCCTGGACTACCTGGTAGCCCAAAAATACATACTAAAAAAACTTTCATTGAATGGATGTCAAATAGATCTATTTTCCATATTGGCCAAGACAATGAAGACTTGCCTGGACTACCTGGTAGCCCCAAAATACATACTAAAAAAACTTTCATTGAATGGATGTCAAATAGATCTATTTTCCATATTGGGCAAAAATCTAAGCCAATATCTTCTTTGTTTCTATATATTATGGTTATTATTTTACTTTGAAGGTATTTTCATGTCCACTTAAAGGCAGTTTTTAGTCCATTAATTTGAATATAGTGTTCTAGGAATTAATCAGATAACCATAATATTTTAGAGTAGGAGTAGGCTAAGTATGACCCATGTAGCCCACTGCCTGTATTTAAACAGCTCCATGAGTTAAGAATGGTTTTTACAATTTTAAGGGGTTGTAACAAACAAAGAAGAATACATGCCAGAATGAATGTGGCCCGCAAAGTCCAAAATATTTACTACCTGGCACTTTTCACAAAAAATTTTCCCACTCCCATTTTAGAGCTAGAAGGAAGAAAATTCAACTGCTTTATTTTGTAAATAGGAAAATGAGGCTGTAAAAACTAAGTGATTTGCCTCAAGTCACATATTGCTTATAAATTAGAATAACCCCACTTTATATATTTTACCATATCAGCTCTAACCAGATAAGTCACACGGAGACATATTAATAAGGAGGGAATTCTGGAAGAAGCATGAGGAGTTGTACTGAGATGACTTTTCATCAAATTCAAATAAATGACTATAGTCAATGAGGTTAGTACTAAAGGAATTCCTAAGGAGAGTGGAGAGTGACCAATTCGGTATGTACTCTGGCCATAAGGTCTAGAAGTGAGGATGGGGGTGGAGATATGAGTGGTTATTTCCTCAGTGCTAATCCTCTCCATGGTTACGGGTATATGTTGAATGGATGTGGCCATTCTCCTTTAGTAGGTATACCTTGCTGTAGAGGGTCTTGTTCTTTTCAGCCAGAGTGAAGTCAGGGGTATCATAGGCATAGCAACCAATGCCTTTAAGCCAGGTCAAGTCTTGTTTATATTTTACCTGGGAGAAGAAGAATATCATCAAAAAGTTTTAACAACCTGTCTCCAAGTGGCAGTAAGTTAGCATTTATACAAGTGGCACAAATAGAATCTTTGACCCCTGAAGTGTATGGAACAATAAAGTATTAAAACAATTATTTAAAAGAAGTTTCCAGTAATACTGATTTCTGTTCATTTTATGGTGAATTATTTTATAGTATACAGAAAATTATAGTATACAGAAAAAGCATTTCAATTTAATAGGCATACTTTTCTAGAAAGTATATCATTAGCTTGGCAGCTACATTTTCATATATATTATTTTATAGTATACAGAAAATTATAGTATACAGAAAAAGCACTTCAAATTTAATAGGCATACTTTTCTAGAAAGTATATCATTAGCTTGGCAGCTACATTTTCATATAGAGAGCTGAAATTTCTTTCTAAATGAGCACTGTTCCATGTCTTAATTGCTTCATGAAGTTGTCTCTTCAATGGATCAAAAACAGGCTATTTCCTATGTGAAGTATATCCCTTCCAGTCATGTAGTAGATCATACACTTAGAAGAAAAACTAGGTTTATAAATTTGAATATATTTTTCCCTCTTTCACATTGAAGTTCACTCATTTAGCAATTGGGTTTTATGATTTAAACAACCATGCACGAGAACTAAAGTCCAGCCAGGTGTTTCATCAGTTTTCTTTTTGGCGGGGATGGGTGGCTGGCCAGTCCAGGGATCTGAACCCTTGACCTTGGTGTTACAAGGTGGCTCTCTAACCAACTGAGACAGTTCATCAGTTTTCATGAAGTGTTTGACTTTGTAGCTGATATGGAAATATGAAGGTATATGTGGAAATAGAAGATGTCCACACTCACATCACTAACTGCGTCAGTGACTGCCCGGTGGTGGAAGTGCTCCGGCCGATCGGGAATGGACCTCCAGATTCCCAGCTGGCTCATGTAGTTCGCCTTGTATTTCACCTGTCATAAAACATGAAAACAGCTATAAAGTCTTACCCAAAGTTAACATAAAAATGTCTACTTCTCTCTGGGAAGTTTGAAAAACGGGAGGTTGCTTGAAAAAAAAAATTATGGTGGTTTATAGAGGCCAACACAAGTAGAAATATCTAGGGACATACTTTACTGACGTCATCTGTGACTTTGCGATGATAAACAATGTCCAGAGCATCCTTCACAGTGTGGTACCTCCCTTTGGTCTTTTGAAATGTTTCTTTGTAGCGTAGCTAGAAAGATAAAAAGCACATGGATTACAAAAACTACTAAGTTAAATAATTGACCTCCTTTAAACTTGTACTGTCTTGAGTCTTCTCTCAGGTTTTTCCATGAAAAAATTTAAAAGGTCATTTCAGACACCAGAAGAGAAAAAGGACATCTGGAAAAATGAATGAAATCCAAACATTATTATTAGTTAATAATAATGTACTGTCTTGGTTCATTGGTTGTGGCAGATGTACAATGGTAATGTGAGCTGTGACAACAGGGGAAACTGGGTGTAAGTGGGAACTCTCTATACTACTTTTGCCACTTTTCTATAAATATAAAACTACTTAAAATAAAAAGTTTATTTAAATACAAAACAGATAAACCAAAAGCTCATTTGGAGGAGAAAAAAACCCAAATATAAGCTTGTTGAGCCCAGCCCATACTAACGTACATGGAAAAGGAAGAAAGATTTAGCTTCTAACTCCTGGTATTCAAATGCCTTCTCCACTGAGCAGTCCCGGAATTTAATTTCATTATAGTCTTTATCTTTCTGATATTTCAGGACAAAACAGCTCTGACTTTAACCTAAGAATAACACAGAAGAATCATCCCATCTACACAAGAGGGGTGCTTTTCTGAGCAGTCTGTTTTCAACCTCGACCAGGCCTTTCTTTTGGGGTAGTTGAGCAAACACGTAATGAAAGATGTCTTGTCTTTGACTTTGTAACTTTGTTTTTAGATGGATAATCCCATAAAATAGCTTAGCTCTATTTGTGGGGATAGCCATGGTGTATAAACTGAATTTAATGACAGATGCCGCCCCTGTTAGTCTGGACTATTTTAAAGACTAAGATTATCAGAATTGGTACCAGTAAAGCCCTAGGGTTGAAGCTGTTTGGGGGCATACTGAGGCCCAGGGGCCGATTTCAGTGAGTGGCCACCTCTGTAAGATGCAAATTAAGCTTGGCTCAACTTAATACTCAACAGTAACCTTGAAGTGATCAAGATAGGGGATGTAAAAGAAGACAAAATATGCTAGTGGATAGATTTTCAGGGGAGAATATGATTTTCTTAGCTTATATTTTAAGTACTAACTGGCATGGCCTTTTTCCAACTAGTAGGCTCCTTTCTGCTCCAAATGAAAATTTCTGACAAAATTATGGAACTGAGATGTTCTTCCAGTTTGCTGCACCTCTCACATTTCTTTTTTTTAATTTTTTGACTGGTAAGGGAATCGTAACCCCTGGCTTGGTGTCGTCCACATCACGCTCAGCTAGCAGCACCGCACTCTCCCAAGTGAGCCACGGGGCCGGCCCCACCTCTCACATTTCTGCTTAGGGATAATTGCAATGGCCTTAATTAAGATGCCTTGAAATCCTAGAGCTATGTTGTGAACTTGAGGGGTGATGGGGCTGGCTTGAGCTTTCAGCTTGATCGAAGTCCCAACATGTCCAGTCCACTAGGGGTTCTGGTTCTGGTGATGGGTATAGTGAATTCGTGGCTGGGCTCTGAGACACAAAACTGGTAAGGACTGGCCATCTAGCCTGGTTGGACTAATTTCATATCATCCTTAGCGATTTTCTCATTACTGTTAGAAGACAGTCTTGTCCTTGATCACGTGATATGGGAAATATAAGTCTGTCCCTCCTGATTGTAACTACTGAGTCATGTGTCATTCCCATGATCTATATTTAGGCAATTAAGACAGGAAAGGAACAAACACTTTCTGAGTGTCAAGTTAAGAGCCCAGAAGTGTGCTAGGAACACTATGTGTACCATCTTGTTTATTCTTATTTAATTATCACGATTCCCATCCTCGTTCCATGTATAATAAAAGAGACTCAGAAAAAATAGGCAAATTATGTAGAATCATATAACAGGCAAATGACAGGGTGAGGACTTCAATCCATGTTTGGCTGACTCCGAGACCATGATTTTATGGTAAATAAATTAATTGTCAAGTATTCCTAGGAAACGCTACTAAAGAATTACAAGAAAGGGTCATGTTTTTGCCCAGGAGAGAATTGAGAGGAATAGGCTTCTAGCATTTGTCAGCACTGTTCTTAGCTACTTTGCCTGGCTGCTAGTGTCTGGGCCTGTTGGGTGTTTTTTTTTTTTTTTTTTTTTTTGTGTGTGGGGTTTTTTTCCTGATGTGTGGGCCATGACTTTGAACTATGGATATGACTGAAGTATCTTATGATCTTAGCTACTTCGACCTCAGCTCTCCCTGTCACAACAGAAGGAAGAAGGAAAGGATGCATACGTCACTGGCGTTCCAGTAGGCCTTCTTGGCTCTGATGAGGATTGGCGTATCCGGGACCGGGGTGTACTTGTCCTTCATCTTTTCATATTGAATCTTGTACTTTGTCTAACAAGTGAAAATAGAAGAGAGAGACAAACTTAAGTTCAATCATTCTCATCCCTTCTCATTCACAACCACAGATCTAGTGGAGGGACACAACATATCACACTCTTCAAGAGAAAAGCTTTCCTTCTGTGTTTGATGATGCTGAGTGCAATTTACAGTGATGAGCTCTCTGATCGGGGCAACAGGTGAAGGTTTCAATGAAGTCTTTTTTTTCCCTTAACCCAGTGCCTCAGTGCCAAATTCCCATCTTACCTCACTGACCATGTCCTTCACGTCTTTAGCATGCTTCAGGGCTTTGGTCTGGTTTCCAGCATGATGATGGGGTCTCTCTTTGGTGGCAAGTTCAACATACAGATACTGAATAATAAGAGAATAGGGTGAGGTGTTACAGAGATAAAGCATCTGGTATTTGATATTCAGTCCTCTTCCTTCATTTCTAACCCTTCAATGGGAGGGTGGTGTTTGTTGTCCTGGGTTTGTTTGTTTGCTTGTTTGTTTATTTGTCATATGTATTTCTCTTAATTTGTTTTTCACTGTGTCTCACATTTGAAGACACATATACATGTTCCAGTTATCTAATATTCCTACTGCTGTGTATGGTCCAGTTTAAAGCCATGTGATAAAGAACGCCAACAGAAGAGTGAGAGGATTCTGATAGATCCCTCAACATATTTTCCCCATTTTTATAATAGTTCCCCATTTTTACCTGAATGTATGAAATGTGACTTCATTTATTTGTAGACAATAGATTCTATGAAATGATCAAGCAATCATTTTCACTACTTGAAGTTCACAAACCACTCGCCCAATGACAAAAGTTGTATAGAGATTAGAAAAGATGTGGCATCCCTTGCTCATGTGAAATGGTGCAAAAGAAAACTGCTTCTTGAAGTGTAGTGTCTATGGGCATGAGGCTGCAGCAAGGACAGCCAAGTATGAGAGTCTGCTAGTGACCAGGAGAGGTCAGGCACACTTTACCGCCCCCTGTGATGCCAGCATTGCAGGTTTATGAATCTTCATTAGCAAATGATCTCACCTGACTCTGAAGCTTCTGCCCTCGTTTGGCTCTTAAAAGATCAGGAGTATCAGGAACTGAAGTGAAAATTGACTTCTGCTTCTTGCCTGCAGCTCTGTACACCAGCTAGACATAAAGCAAGTCATCAGCATCATTCCTTCTTTATTGACATGTTTTATTCTCTGCAGACACCTTTATTGCTTACTCATAGAAAAGGCAGGGGTCCTCCCAGTGCAACAATCTCAGTTTCTTCCCAATAAACCAATCATTTATTTACCTCCTGAGCCCTTCTTTTCTTTTCTTTCCCTTGTATCAAAAGAAGAGACATTTCCTAGCCTGTCCAAGGTTCAAGCCTCCGGCCACGTTTTTAGTCCCATCCCCACAAGTCCCTTCTGGAACCCCGTTCTGGAAGTTATCCCCTTCTCCTCCATGTCTCAGTCTTTTCTGTTTCTCCAGCCCTCTCCCTTATCTGCAGACTCAAGTCCCTCCCTTCATGAAGGCTTCTTCAACCTCTAGCCAAGGGCCTCCTTCTTTCCTTTCTCAGCCAAGCTGCCTATGTGTTTCTTCTTTTCCTCTCTTTTGATTAATTTCTCAAGATCGTAGTTTGGCTCCCACTCAACCATGCCGATGAAGTCACTCTTATTAATACTGCCATAAACTTAATGATTGCTAGATACAAGAATGCCTCTCTATTAGCACCTGCAACTGCTCAGCTGTTTCATCCCGGAGAGCTCTCTTCCCTCCTTCCACCCCATCATTCTCTCCTATCCCTCGAGGCATTCTTCAGCCTCTCTCTATGGCTCTGCCCTCCCCCAAAGGAAGCTATTAGCAGTCAAGGGTTGGCCTCTTTCATCCTGCACGTTCTCCTTGGATGCCCTTGTCTGTACCCGTGTCCTCAACCATCACTTTAAGATCGATGACTTCCAAGTCTATATATCCAGTGTCTCTCCTGAGCTCCAGACCTAAATTTCCAATGACTTTCTGAATTTGGGTGATTGATCATGTTCAGTGTGTAATTCTTTATATTATGTCTCCAGCCCCATCTGTTTCTTCTCCTTTTTTCTCTATTTTGCTAAACGACCTCTTGATCTCCCAGTCACCCAGGCCAGAAACTTGGGGAGTCATTATAGATTCCTTATCCCTCATTCCTACACCAAAATGGTCATAAATTCTGGCCTCCTAACTTTGTGATATTCCTGAAATCTCAAACTTCTGCTCCTTTCTCACTGCCACTGCCCTCGTTCAGCCTTCTGCCTTGTTAATTTTCTACAGACCCTTCAGAGCCTCCTCAGCCACCTTCCCAACTCCTCCATCAGACTGCTCCACATGGCTCATGGGTTTTTCACACGTCTAAGAGAGATTTTCCTAACACTCAGATCTAATCAGATCTTAACGCTCATTTCTATCCTGCTGAGAAATAATTATACAATGGTGTTTTCATCAAATGCAAGATCGTTATTAGCATAGCACCCATGAGTCTTTATTTATCTGGTTTTTTTCCCCATCTTAAGACTAACCTGAATGAAGCCCCCTTTTTAAAAAAATTATTGGACTTGTATTTTAGAGGTGAGCAGGTTAAAATATTTTTAAAATATTTTTGATTTTATCATTGTACAATATAATTTTTTTGTGGCCATTTACCAATTTCTCCTACCCTTGAATGAAGCCCCCTTTTTAAAAAAATTATTGGACTTGTATTTTAGAGGTGAGCAGGTTAAAATATTTTTAAAATTTTTTTGATTTTATCATTGTACAATATAATTTTTTTGTGGCCATTTACCAATTTCTCCTACCCTCCCCCAAACCCCCCACCCTTGCCTCTGCCCTTTCCCACCTCTGGTGGCCTCACTTCCATTCTCACCCGTGAGTCTTTATACCCTCACCCCAACCCATGTTCCTAGTCTCATTTTCCAACATCTTCCATGCTCTGCATGTGCTATTTGAAACTATCTCTAGTTCCTAGAACTCATTAGGGCCATTTTCATATATCGTCCTTCCTGCCTAGAATGTTCTTCCCCCTCTTATCTTCCTGCTGTTTGGACTATTCCTGCAAGATACTATGAGAGTACTTCAAAAAGTTCATGGAAAGATTCATATTATCTTTTAATTCTATTCTTCCATGAACTTTTTGAAGTACCCTGTATTGATCACAGTCATGTCTGTTTCTTCTCCCAGACCAAGGGCCCATGGAATGCAGCAGCTCAGCTCTGTGAGCCTTTTGTCACCTAGTGCTTAGACAAAGGGCCTGAAAAATAGTAGCCCCCTAATAAATGTTGAGAGAATTCAATACAACAAGGCAAATTAGAAAGAACAAATGGATACCACACAAATCTGAAACACAGATATAAATACCAGTTGAACAGATGAATAGACAAATGTAAGAAATAAATGTTATATATATGTATATATATATACACACATATATGTACATGTCAGTTTCTTTAAATCTAAATTATGTACAGGTGCAAGTTAAAACAAAATGTAGCACATGTGCTTTGGGCTGTTTTTGGTGTTACTATTGAAAGGAAGGAGATAAACTAAATGAAAACTTAATGTTTCTTCCAAGCTAAATTTTTTTTTCCTTTTTTTGTCTTTTTTTGTGACCGGTAACGGGATCGCAACCCTCAGTGTCAGAATCTTATAGTTAAATGGAGACCAAATCATCATCTAGTCCAATTCTCTACTTAGAAACTCAGGGTGCTGAAGTTGTGAATTATATAAGGCCATATAGCTAATCAAAAGTAAGTCTAAGACTAAAACCCAATTCTCGTATGCCATTTCCATAATTCTCTTTGCATTAACTTCTCCTGTACTTAGATATGCATTGTTTATGCTTCTTGGGACAACATCCCTGCTTTCTAGTTCTATAAATGCATATATGTTGAGGATCTATACAATTCAAAGACAACTCAAAAGTCAATAACTTGACTTCCTTTGGCCATCAAACTTTTTATGAAATCAGTGTTTCTCAAACTTTCCTTATACTAAAAATCCTTATTAACAATGAATTTGCTCTATCCCAGACCTTCTGAATTCAGGGTATTGGCTTGAATCAGTATTTTATCGAGCCCAGGTCATTCTTCTGGAGAAGCAAATGCAATAGAAACTGCACTACTGAAAATATTCCATTCATATTCCTCAATGTTGATGCACAGTACGTACAAAATCCCAGTAGAAATTGGGAAGAGGAGAGAAACTAAAATTTTAGATAATTCTGAACCCAGAAATACTTTTACTCCAAAGCACTTTAAGTTACCCAGACACAGAGAATCAGAGTCTGGTGTAGGACTAGGGGTCAGAGTCCATTCGGGCAGGTTTTAAATATTCCACAGGTGATGCTCATACTCTGTCACAGTGGAGAAGCTCAATTTTAATGGGGTAAAAAGAACATAAGCGCTCCTATCTGAGTGTGAGCACCAGCTGAAATATCACAGGGAAGCTTTTAGGAAAGAAAATGGGCTCAATGTAGCATTTGTAATAGGTGAAAAATGAGGGTAAAAAGAACATAAGCACTCCTATCTGAGTGTGAGCACCAGCTGAAATAACACAGGGAAGCTTTTAGGAAAGAAAATGGGCTCAATGTAGCATTTGTAATAGGTGAAAAATGACTCATCCTCTGACTCTGACTCACTAGAAGTATAGAAAGATGCACCTCCCCTCCACTGAGGGCAACATTTGGTGTGCCAGTGCATCTCCAGGTCTAAGAGCGTAAGATTCCTAATTAGAGGTCATCAGAACTATAGAGAATGATGAAATGGCCTGATAGCCAATGCTCAGCTTGGTGAAATTTGATGAATGAAGCCACAATACAGACTGATGGTAGAAAGAGAATAGAATAGCCAACCAACCTATAGGAAGAGCAAGCATTTACATTTGTGAAGTACACTTAGTCATTGGCAAAGATGGACATCTATTATGGCCAACCACTGTGGGACACATGTGTAAATAAAATGGGGTCCAATCCTCAAGGAACTGACAGTCTAGATGAGGGAATCAGATCTTTACACAAAGAACTGCAATAAATCAGGAACCTCAATGCCAGGTGGGCAGATGAAAATGAAACAAAGTAATCTAGAATTTATTGAATGGGCAGCCAAGCAGGGAGCCACTGAGGACTTTTCAAATGGCACTACCATCATTAGGGTTCCTGATAGTAGAGATTAAAGAGAGATAATTTTGAAATAAGTTCAGTTTGAAGGCTACAACAATAGTGTAAGACAGAAGGACTTTCTAATCTATCAAGTCTTGTAAAACCTCTCATCAGTCCTGGTCATAGGAAAGGAAAATATCAATATCCTCGTCTTACCAAGAGGGGACAAAATAAGTAAACTGAGGCAAAGTGAGGTCAATTGACTGGCTTAGACATGATGGTCTCTCCACCATTAAGGGAAGAGGGAAAATCTTTTACCTGCTGTAGTTGCCTGAATAATGACCACTAGAGGAACTAGAACCTTTTTGAGTAATTCAGTTTGTACTGGTCAATTTGGTTCACTTGTAGTGCCAGGTAAAGCTGCCTTACCTCACTCAGGTGTGTCTTCAGTTCCTGCACTTTTCTGTATTCTGGAGTGTCAAGCACCACCTCGTACTTGTCTCGTATCTTCCTTGCATGATCAGTGTACAGGTAATTAGACTTAAAAAAACAACAACAGGAATACAAGTTGATCAATCACTTAAGGGATTGCATGTCACACTGTCAAATGGCTAACATGTGCAAGCTGAGTGGTTCCTCCACATGTCCTGGGTTTTTTCCCAGACAGAAACAAAAACAAGTGTCATCACCTCATATGGGAGCAACACGGATCATCTTAAGTAGGCCATGACCTGCTCAAGTGGGTTAATGGTAAATTTTCCCTTAAAAGGTGATGCAGAGGCTAAGATTCTCTCTGCCCAGCTGCCGGAGGCCAGTGCTGGGTCACGGGCAGCTGTGTGGGGATAGCTCTGTGCTGCGAAGATGTGCAACTCACCCAGAGCTTCCGCAGGTGCCGGGAGCGGACCATGTCGGGAGTGTCATACAGAAAGCAGCCAAACCCCCGCAGGAGCCGTAAGTCCTCTTTGTATTTAAGCTGTGAGGCAGACACAGAAATACAGCCGGTCAAGAGCAAATGTAAATTAGGAACAGAAAAGACAGAGTAGTGACACTTTTTTATTGATGTATCTTTTATTTTGGTTCAACACATCCACCCTGAGCTCTTAGTTTGCTTGCACTCAAATAAATTCTAGGTTTTTTTCATTTAAGTCTCTAACCCTGAGCTGAGCAGAGCACATTGCTATTATTTTATTTTATATTGATGGGAGTAAAGCACAGATTGAATGGACTGGTCTTTTAGGAGGAGGAAACATTCCAAGCAGAATAAAAAATGAAAGCAGGAAGTTGCTGAAGGGGGTGGGAGTAGAGATGAGCAGAAGGAAGATACTAAACATGACCTGGGACACAAGCCATTCAGCATTGAATGTGCAATGGTGGTCACTGAATACTCAAGAACGGTTGCAATGCTGTTTCCCAAATGTTCTTCTTCCTACTGTTTCCCTAAGTAGACTTCTACACTATTTCACTTCCAAGTTGTACACTTAGTTTAGAATTACTAAAGGGAAAGGCTGCTCAAAGACCACTACTGTCTGAAATTCTTCTTCCTACTGTTTCCCTAAGTAGACTTCTACACTATTTCACTTCCAACTTGTACACTTAGTTTAGAATTACTAAAGGGAAAGGCTGCTCAAAGACCACTACTGTCTGAAATGCTGAAAGCAAGCCTGCCCCTTGGTAAGACTCCTCCAGAAAAACCCCTATGAATTGCTTACGTCACTGGTGATGTCTCCTACGTAGCGGCAGTGGATCACTTGGGGTGTGTATGGTAGGGAGATCATGTGGCCTTGCATCTTGAAGAAATCTGATTTGTAGATCAACTAAAGAAAAAAATACCCAGAAAAACATGCATGAAAGACCAAACGGCTGAAGTCATCCCTGGGTTCCACGGCCTGTCCTCTCTCCTAAGAACACCCACCTCGCTGACAGCCTCTTGTGTCTTCTTGACTTGGCGGATTTCAGGCGTGTCGGGAGTTGTATGAATCTTGTCTTTTAGTTTGTGGTACAATTCTCGATACAGTCTCTACATTGGAGGAAAACCATTCCAGGAGTTTAGTGTAGGATGATAAGGGCATCTACTGACTAATCAACAAACATATTTTACATACAGAGCCAGGAGAGGAAATATCAGGAATATAGAAAATGACTGAAATTAGGAAAAAAAGAGAAAATGATACTTATTTTATTCCTTTAGGTGAAGAATTCTGAGCACAAAGTCTTCCACTTTCTATCAGATGGTTGTATAGTAGAATCAGATATACAAACCGATAGTTGATGTAGAAAACCAGGGTCATGAGTCAGACTAAAATGCAATCTTATTAAAGATTTTTTGAATACAGATATCAAAAGAGGAAATTATTTCTTTAGAAAATTTTTGCATCATAATCTATGGAACTGAGTTTCTGCGATGGCATTACCAAATGCAGAAAAACACTGCCAAGGGATACCAGTATCAAAATGGTGACAAAAAGGACGCTCTTACTCTTCGCTAATATGTACATTTACAGTTGAGATACTATTAATTCTTAATGTATTTTAAACAAAGCCATGATCTTTGAAACTCAATATTTCTCTCAGAGAATCAGCATCCACAGTACCTCACTGGTAACATTGTTGGCTCTTCGGACGTGGACAAATGGAACGTCATTGGGGCCCAGTGTATACCCATATGCCTTGATGTGTTCATAGACTTCTTTGTACTTGAACTGCAGAAGCAAAGTCAGAATGCAGTCAATGACGGGCAAACAGAGAGCAGCATCACATTTCTCAAATAGAAAAGAGATGTCACCTTATCTGAAAATTATTCTCTACGCATTAAGTATAAGGAAAAGTAATTGACAAGATTTCACTACTAATCCAAGTCTTGAAAAAATTTGTTGGATAAAAAGCCAGGTCTGGAAAGAAAGAAAATTCAACCTTGCTTAGGTGAAATCTGTTTGCAGACAGGTACGCAAAATGAAAAAAAAAAAAAAATCTGCATTTTTTTAGCCCCATTATGGCTAGGAAATTAGGAAAGACAAAGAAAGAACAAGAGCATATTTTTAAGACTGAAGAATTGCTTTATGGATTAATTTTTTAAATGACATACTAGATTATTAAACACATGACTTTTTGCTTTGGAAACATATTATTATGCCACAGGCCATTGAACCCTGCCTGGCCAGCAGGTTTGATTCCCAGGACTCTGAAAGGCAGCATGGAAGTGAGAGCTTATTCTTCAGCCAGTGGCTGGTTTGAGTATGGTCTGCAGGCCAGAGCCACTGGGATGGTCAAAACTCCTCTAGGCCTTGCTCATGGGGTAAATGCACCAAGTCCCAATGTGGTACTTTAAAAAAGTGGAGAAGGATAGTATGAGAGACAACACCTGAGCAAGCTACAGGTAGTGAGAGCTTATCTACCCCTCTAGCTTTCTACGAACTGGGCACAGAGGATAACTAGTGAATTAAGTATCAGAGCCAGCAGTTATGCAAGAAGTCTTTCCTTCCCAAAAGAACACAGTGATATTACATCTGCAATGAAACATGGCAGAAGGATGACAATACTGTCGTTACATGTCAGCAGTGCGTGTGTGAAGTTGCATTTCCAATAAATAGCTTGGGATAGTTCAGGATGCCTCTGTGCAAAGGCCAGCAGAAATAGAGGCACCAGGGCAGCCATGGGCCCTGAGTCAAGACTCCCACAAACATCCTGTCCTAAACCACTAGGCTGCTGAATGAGAGCAGCCGATTTCATAGCACTACTGGAAAATGTGCTGTCTCCTTCCCCCTCTCCCATCATTATATCACGTTGAACCTATAGGAGGTGACTGGAGGGTGAGAATAAGCTAGCAATTAATATTACTTCCCTCCCACCCCAACTTCAAACCCCATCTCAAAGAGGAGGAGATCACTCACATAACTGCTCATGTATCGGATGTCCTTGCTGTGTTTGAAGTGAGGGGTATCAACTGGAAGCCTATATCCAGTTGGCAGGGTGCGCAGGCTGGTTTTGTATAGATTCTGCCAGAATGAGGAGGAGCAAGTTAAATGACTTCTAGCATCAAATTACTGATCTGATTAGAAAATCACCTACAGCTCACGAAAGGTTTTTGATCAGAGTTAATACACTTCTGCTCACTGAATTGATTTCAACAAGAAATTAACTAAGTTCTTAGAGTCATAAAATGCATCAGATTACTTTTAACTCATTGTTTTAGAAAAGAGAACAATGAGTGAAATGGCTCATAGAAAGTAATACTTCTATGCTTTGAACATATTCCCATTGACTGCATGGAATCCAGCAAAAGTTTGGGAAAAGCAGAGAAGATGGGCAGCCAAGGCCACCTCTGTTTTTAACCCCACTCTTAGATGATATTCAAACTATCACCAATGCCTGAGACAGTCATAATTATCAGGCACATCTTTTACACCCCCCCCCAGGGTCTTGACATCAGGCTATAAAGAGGTTGGGAAGCACATATTTATGGCAGGAGGAGGCAGGGAGGAGTTTCTGTCTGTGACCTTAAATACTATGTCTCTCAGGAATTAAGAATAGTGTTTAAAATATTGAAAACCAAATTATTTTCAATATTCAAGATGGAAAGAAAGTAGCATTAAAAGTTGAGACCAGGGGCCGGCCCGGTGGCACACTGGATAAGTGCACCGCTTGGGAAGTGCGGCGGCGCTCCCGCCCGAGGGTTCGGATCCCACATACGGACCAGTTCCCGCTCACTGGCTGAGCGAGGCACGGGGGCAACCCCGAGGGGTGCGATCCCGCTGCCGGTCCCCGTCCGGTATGGGGGCGACACTGAGGGTTGCGATCCGTTGCCGGACAAAGAAAAAAACAAAAGACAAAAAAAAAAAAAAAAAAAAGTTGAGACCAAAGTAGCACCACGGGGTAACACCGAATAGGGAGATTAAATATGTGGGGGAGGGGTCCCAGCTATTTCTCTTCTGAATTCCAGCATTAATTTTTAGCTTTATCTCTTATTGTTTATAGGCTTTTATGATTAAATGTCTTTATCATCTTGATCTTAAGCTTTTTTTTTTTTTTGTCTTTTTCCGTGTCTGGCAACGGATCGCAACCCTCAGTGTCGCCCCCGTACCGGACGGGGACCGGCAACGGGATCGCAACCCTCGGGGTTGCCCCCGCACCTCGCTCAGCCAGTGAGCGGGAACCGGTCTGTATGTGGGATCCGAACCCTCGGCGGGAGCGCCTCCGCGCTTCCCAAGTGGCGCACTAGCACAGTGCGCCACCGGGCCAGCCCGATCTTAAGCTTTTGAAAGCAGAGAAGGTATACTGGTTCTCTTGCTTGTAACTTGTAAATACTACTCCAAAAATGCCCATTTATTGATAATTTGATGGCTTGATAGAAGTATCCTGCCAGCTGAGAGGGAAGACAGGCCGCTCTCTGTTTTCATTTTTCCAATTTATGTGAATAAAAAATATTTTACCAAGTGAGGCCAATTGGTGCCCAAGCCAAGTCTGCTTCTACAGAGGCCAATGGCCTGGATTTCTGCCAGGAACTCTCCATTTCTCACTGCTTACCTCGCTCTGGAGCTTGTACGCATGAAGGGCCCGGTCCAGATCCACGGTTTTCGTAGTTGGAGCCACTTTGCCTCTGACACTGTGCACATAGTCATAGTGATAGACAGCCTGCATGAGAAAGAAGTGGAGTGGATTGATTCAGACTGCAGCAGCATTGCTGGAAAGACGCAAAGTAAATGGAAACCCAAGTCCCTCTTTTTTTTTTTTTTTTTTTTTTTTTGTCTTTTTCCGTGTCCGGCAACGGATCGCAAAAGCCAAGTCTGCTTCTACAGAGGCCAATGGCCTGGATTTCTGCCAGGAACTCTCCATTTCTCACTGCTTACCTCGCTCTGGAGCTTGTACGCATGAAGGGCCCGGTCCAGATCCACGGTTTTCGTAGTTGGAGCCACTTTGCCTCTGACACTGTGCACATAGTCATAGTGATAGACAGCCTGCATGAGAAAGAAGTGGAGTGGATTGATTCAGACTGCAGCAGCATTGCTGGAAAGACGCAAAGTAAATGGAAACCCAAGTCCCTCTTTTTTTTTTTTTTTTTGTCTTTTGTCTTTTTCCGTGTCCAGCAACGGATCGCAACTCTCGGTGTTGCTCCTGCGCCTCGCTCAGCCAGTGAGCGGGAACCGGTCTGTATGTGGGATCCGAGCCCTCGGGCGGGAGCGCCGCCGCGCTTCCCAAGCGGCGCACTTATCCAGTGCGCCACCGGGCCGGCCCAAGTCCCTCTTTTAAAAGAAAAAAGAACAGGTGGCCTGCTTCCCTTTGCCTAGAAACCCCATCTGATATATTACTGTGTCTTGCCTAATAGGATCAGAGCCAGGGGGTTGACACCCACACTGAGAAATAAGTGGAAGAGTTAGCTCAGGCATAAGAGGAGGAAGAGTGGGCATTTTACTACTAGAAGTTCCAAAATAATAGGTCTCAGTGCTCTAACTCACTGGCAAAAGCTAATACTTATCAACCTGTGGCATTAACAAAAAAAGAGCACGTTGGTGACTACTCTGTGTGAGGCAATATAGTGAGTCATTACATACACTTTCCCATTAGTCTGCCACAAATTTATTAGCAGTCCTAGACAGTGAGACATAAAGTGTTGCTCATGACATAAGGTTACAAAAAGCTAACTAGAAAACTCTAAAACACAAACTATTCCATAGACTCAGATCACTTACAATTCCATTCTAGCAAACTACTTGAACACATCAGCTATTAGGAAACGAGAGCAGCATCTGAAGTACTAAGACGCCAGCTCTGGTTTCCCAGAAAAGGCCTGGAACTGCCCAGTCTTTGTCACTTCCACTTGAGTGGTGGCCCCCGTCTTTATTACTGTCCATGGTAGCTTCCCCAGCGAGCGCTTACATCACTTAGCTGTTTCCCGCTTTTGACAGCCTGGACGTAGACTGGTGTATCTGTGACCAACTTGTAGTCATTCTTTGTTTTCTGTGCATGAGCTTTGTACTTGATCTGCCAAGAGGAAGAAAACAAACCTGTGTTGGACCATTCATTATACTAGAAAGTGCTGGTTTTCACAGATGATCTGATTGTTTTTAATTCATGGAATTTATATCCATCAGCACTTATTCAACAAACCAGAATGCATTTGCATTTTATAAAAATCAGTGTAACCAATTCTTATAGTCAAATGGGGCTTCTAAGAGTCTTCTAGGAGGCTTGACAACTACTCTTCTAGGAAAGTTTAAGCTTTCTTATTGAAATCTTCATTACAGTTTTTAATTTGCCTGGCAAATCCTCTCTACAAATAGATCTGGCCTAAGCATTACTAACTCCTAATGAGAGATTTTCCTTTAGTGAGAATTATGTGCTCATTAATATTCTCCAAATAGTCCAAAAGGCAGAGAGAAAAGCCAGTGGTCCCTTCTCTACCAGGGGACAATGGCACAGCTGGACTGCCCCTTGTTTAATAGGAATGCCATACACATACCTGAGAAGTGGCTGTTCTGTGCTTAGCATCTTTCCCCAGCTCAACCGTCCTCAACATGACTTACTCCACAGTTGGTCTGTGACAATGTCCCTATTTTACATATTCTCCCCTTAACTCTAGACTATGCAAAGGTGGAAATATGCTGAAGAACAAACAAAACAAGGCAAAACTCACATCGTTGCGCAGATCATAAGCATGTTTGGCATGGAGAATTTCAGGAGTGTCCCAGACGTAGCAACCAATACCTTTCAGCCAGTTGAGGTCATCCTTGTACACAATCTAGAGGATTCCAACAGAAGGAGGGGATCAGAAAGAAACATTGACTGTAACTTCAACACTAAGAACACAGCCACACTCTGGACCCAGATGACTTCAGGAAATGAAAAGCAAAAGGCATTTGCAATGAGGCTGAGGTTTCCATGGAAACATCGGCACCCAGAGCCCTGCTTCCAGGGACAGCTCCAAAACAAAGTGCGACCCCTGGATATACAGGAAAGCAATAGCGAAACAGGGCAGAGGTGAACAAAGAGGAGGGGCTGCTTCTCTTCAGGGTGGGGGACCTTCATAAGAAGTGGGCTTACATCGCTGATCTGATCTGTCACTTTCCTGACGTGACTGTTGACTTGCAAGTCGGGGTGGCAGATCCACTCGTGGAGGTGCAGGCGGTAGTCTCTCTCACTGACTTTCTTCTGAGAATCCTTGGCAGTCACCATCTCTACCATGTCAGGCACGATGTGGATTTTCATCTTGTTTTTTTCATAAACTGATCTGTACAGGCGCTGTGGAGTTAAAATTACATGTCAGTTATGTGGGAAATTGTGTCAAGGCATCACAGTGATATGTATCTGCTTTGCACACCAGAGAAGTCAGGGTAACCAACTTACCGCCGGCAGCTGGGGACAAGGTGGGAACTAGAATTTTCTAAAGCTTTCTACAGATTAATACTAGGGAACTTTAAAAAAAAAAAAAGCAGCATGGACTGAAACAATGCTTAGCTTTTTTACATATGCACCATCAGTGCCATATGCATTGTTTAATAGAAAATGTTCTGATTCATAATATGTGGCTATTTTACTTGGCTTCAGTTTGAAGTAAGGACTTTAGGATGACTTACATCGATGTTAAGCTTGCCAACTCGGAGGCAACGTGCTGTGTTCGGATCATCCTCAACGCTTTTTGGTAAAGTATAAAGAGCTTTGAACTTTTCATATTCTTCCCGATATTTGGTCTGTAGAGAAAATGTAGAAAGAAAGAAACATAGTTTTAGAGAGTAATGGATTCATATGTTGAAAGAGTTTGAGACTTAACGGGAAGGATCCGACTGTGAGATGCAGCCGACTTGGGGACACCACTTCTCTGAGTTCGTTTCCCCATCTGCACAGAGTGATACAGCACTAGCACCTGCTACAGGGTGATGGTGAGGCTTAAATCAGAGTATAAATCAAAGTACCTTAAAACTGTAGAGCATTATAAAATTTTCATGACTGTTTTTAAAACTTATACGAATACTAGTGTTTTTTACTGCTACTACAACTATCTCATCTTAAAGATTACGTAATTTTTAAATAATCTCTTTGTGATAGTGGCTTTGTTTTTCTTACTAGCACAAGTGAAAGATGAAAACTGTGCTGAGGAATCTCTTTGTTTTCAATACCTGAAAAGCCTGATGCTTAAGAGGCACAATCCTCAAATCTTAGTAGAAAAAAATGTTTTCAAAAATACAGTGCTATCAGTTTCCATGGGAAAACTTTTAGTTCTCAAGCCATGTTGCCTATTAACTAATGTTCTATGGTTATAGGAACTAGGTGACAAGGCAGAGACTAAGATACAATCTCCTAGCATATGCAAATAAAATAACAATTCTCTCACAACTCAGAGACCCACATCTCAGTAAAAAACAGGGTATGAGAGTATTCATATCAGAAATCTAGCAAACCCTTCATTGACTGGAGACCAATGAAAATCTCCATCAGAATTTTCTGGAACAAAAAAATTCCAACTTCTTACATCTAACTTATTCCTCATCTTTGAAGAAGATAGCACTCAAAGTCACCCTTTTTAAAAAAAACTTTGTTTTAAACTAAGGTTGGAATTCTTTGAAAGGATTAATATTTCTATATCCCACCTTGTTCCCAAAACAATTTGCCAAGAATCCTGTCTCTATCACTTTTTTCATGGCTAAAGGAAAAAGTCTCTGCTGGGCTTTGCAAATTCTATCTACCAAACTTCTTTTCCCAGGTGGGAAGGAGGGGGTTTTAAGGGGGTGACAGAGTGGTGAGCAGGGGAAGGGAGGTGGTGAGAAGGCTGTCCTGTTTGTACTTGACTTACGTAGCTGGCCAGATGCTTTTGGTTCTTGGCGTGTGTCAGGGACAAGGTGCTGGAAGGCAGGATGTAGCTAGTGGCTTTCACTTTGTCCCAGGCCTCCTTGTACAGGTTCTGGAGGGGTTTAAAAATAGTTTTGTGAATATGGGAAAATGCATGCTGGTTAGCTTCCAAGTAGCAGGTTTTTCCTCTGCTTTTGTCCTTCTCGGACACTCCCTACCATCCCCCAGTTGTTCTCTTCAATCTGGGGCTTATTTAATTGTACATATAAGGATTTTATGAGATAAGTTAGGGATTTGAAGGTCCAAGAGAAAAAAAACTGGAAAAACCTTTGGGGGTAGGGTGCCTATCTAATTTATTTTCTTTTTATCTCTGAAGGGGGAGAAGATGGCTCACATGTGAGGGTACTTCAAAAAATTCATGGAAAAACAGAATGAAAAGGTAATAGGAATCTGCCCATGAACTTTTTGAAGTTCTCTTGTGTAAGAGGGAAAAAACTCAACTCACACTGCTATAAAGATTCTTCAGATTCTTGGTTCTGTCATAATCCACTGTTTCTAGAACTGTTGTGTATTTGTCCTTGATCTGATGATAATTTTCTTTATATTTCACCTGCAGGCAAAAAAAGAATGGGTTATCCACTTCTGTTTGGAAATATGTAAAGACAAGAAATGGCTTGCCCCCGGAAGAGAAGAACAAGCAAAACACACCTCACTGGCATTGATGCCACTTTGAAGAGCAGTCACATAAAGAGGCGTATCCATGACCAGATTATAGTTCTGTAGGTTTTCTTTACCTGCTGCTGTGTATTGTAGCTGTGAAGAAAAACAAAAGTCACCGAAAGTGGTAAAACACAGGTCTGTCGCCAGCTTTAGCTGTTTGTACCGACTTAGATGGCCTTTATTTGTTCCTGGGTTTCTGCTGTAATCCTAACAAAGAGGCTGATGTTTGACAGCCCCGCAGACTTGGTATGACTGCCAAACCAGTAGTTTCTCCTGACTGAGGGAGGGCGCTGGATCTTTACCACGTCCGCTTCTCCATTTTGTTGCTTTTTCCATGCCTATGCCCCAGCCCCGCAGACTTGGTATGACTGCCAAACCAGTAGTTTCTCCTGACTGAGGGTGGGCGCTGGATCTTTACCACGTCCGCTTCTCCATTTTGTTGCTTTTTCCATGCCTATGCCCCACCCTTGGCTGCATTCCCACAATTTCAACAGTCCTTTAGACCTTCCCTGTCAGACCCGAACCAGGTGCCGGGAAATACTCTGGATATTTATTTTTCCCTTCAAAACCTATCTTTTGCCGCCTACTCTCTACAAGTTAACCAGATCAACTAAGGTACAGATGCTTGAGAGTAGTTCACTATGAAACATCTCCCAGATAACTTTCTGTTGTGAGTGTGCACTGCCTTGAACCACAGGAGAGAGTTACACTGAGAAGGTCCAGCACCAGAGCAGGCCACCAGGAGAGGGTTGATTGGGGTGGGGGGCATTGAGGTTTGTTCTGTTAGATCATGCACTGTTAGAGCAGCTTTTCTGCTTGAGCATAGAAACAGCCTGGTCATCAGCCCACTGATACCATCATGGATTCTGATGGCCTATTGGCTCACCTGACTCTGGAGGTCATATGATTTCTTGGCATGGAGGATCTGGGGTGTATCCCAAACGTAGCAACCAATGCCTTTCAACCAATTCAAGTCATCTTTATACACATTCTGCAAGAAAGAACAATGAAAGGTGACAGGTATTCTGAACTTACAGTTAAGCATTTTTATAATTTCCTATCAGCCCTTGGCTGTGCTTAGTGCTTGGAGAACATAGATTGGGCCTCTCACCAGCTGAAAGGTCTTTCATACCCTGGCATGAAGAAGCATAGCAGGAGAGTAATACCTAAGTCTTAGTCTAGCGTTAAACAGATTAAATATTTAACATACATGTGCTATGACTCAGAGGTGATTCTTAAACCAAAATTGGTTACTGGTGCTACTTTGAGTTGAAAAGCAACAGGGTTTATGAATTCAGGGACAAGCAGAAGATGGGGGGTCAAGGCAGGTGAGGCCTGTAACTAAGTCAGCTGCAGAAAGGACAGCATACATCACTTAAGATCTCCTGGGCATGTCGGACACGTATAACATTGGGTTCTTCAGGAAGAGATGTCCACTGGTGAAAGTAGTGTTGATACTCCAGGTCACTGAGTATGTATTGGCAGTGTTTAGCCAGCACGTGATTCATCATATCGTTGGGGATATGAACATTTGCTTTGGTGTCCTCATAATTTTTTCTGTAGTTCAACTAAAGGAGAATGTTTTTTAAAGACGAAAATTAGAAAGGAAGTAAAATGTAAATTATTCAGATCAATCTCTTTTAGAGTCTTATTTCCAATATAGATCAGTACCTCTAAAATAGACTAAGGTTAAAAACATGATACTTGAATATATTACCTTCTTTTAAAATTTCTCATCCTTTTGTAACACAGGGTAAACAGTGCCCTCATTGCTTTCTCCTTTTCCCCAATGCAGAGCCCCCACGGTAGAGCAAGGGGGGCACACTAGCCATCACGGTCTACAGGCTAACTGGCAGGGGTGGTGAACATCTCAGGTGTGACTCATTCCACGCCACTCCATCCCCCAGCTCATCTTGAACCGAAGAGCAACTTATAAATAGGCAGATGCAAGAGCACCCTTAAGGTATACAAGTCCTGTGCTAAAGTGAATGTTTGCTTACCGCACTCCTCATCTTTTGGAAATCCAGACAGTGAACCACGCCAGGGAACTCACTGATCACTTTTCCAGCCAGGTAGTGACCTTTCTGCTTCTCATATGTCTCTTTGTATTTAAGCTGTAAAATGGGTTCAACATTGAGAATCACTGGAATTTTCTAACCAACCCTTGCTCCCCAATAAATGCTTCCAAACCTTGGAGAGTAAAAGGTCACACTAACCTCACTGTTCACCAGATCAGCATGCTTGGCTCCAACAATGGGAATATAGCGCTCATCCAGGGTGTAGCCATAGGCCTTGGTTCCCTCCCACGCCCCCTTGTACAGTATCTAGGACAAAGAAATGTGTGTCAACAAAAGTTTGCACTCACCCTGCTTTCAGATACCACTAAAACAATTGGTAACATTAAGGTAAAATATTTATTTTCAAGGCAAGGCTTAAATCTTGATTTATACCTGTGAGTGTGCTTACCCAGAACAGGGCAGACATTTAGTTTACTGCAAATTACATCTACAGACTCTGAGGCATTTTGTAACAGCACTTAACTATCTTTACCATTCTAGTAAAATGACAAGTTTGCATCCAGGGAGAAAAATCACTAAAGATAGATTCCCATTGGGTACATGCGCACACACCCATCCTCCTTTAAATTAGCTGAATTAAATTTTGGAGGGCAAGTCTTCCATTTGCTGGTTGAAGATGCTTGTGCATAATTTCTAAAGGGGGACCCGTCTTTCCTCCCTTTCTTCTGTTGGTAGTTGCTCAGTCCCATGTGTACCCAGAGCCTGTTCAGCATTTGTCACATTTTTGTCTATTTACTTACATGTCTGTTCCTCTCATCTGTATGAGCTCCTGACTGGCTTGTCTCATTGAGCTTTAGCCCCCGAGTGCCTCCTACAGTGCTTTGCACCTCACAGGAGCTCAAAAAATACAGCTGAAGAAATCCTACTCTCCTTGAACAATATGCTACTTCTAATAAACAGGACTAAATGCAGTGAAAATAATAGGTCACCTTATGAGTTCATCTGTTCACAAAATCAACTAATAATAGGAATACTGATCTAAATAGCTTAAAATTAGGAACTGAGTTGTTATTACATAAAATGGAACTTACAGTACTGTAGAGTTTTCCCATGTCTTTGGAGTGTGAGATGTGCGGTGTATCTGGGGAAAACGTATACTTGCCCTTGGCTTTATTAAATGTTTCTTTATATTTTACCTAAGGAGAGAAAGCAAAATAAAACAAAACCTTTTCATTACTACAAATGTATATTTAAATTTTCATAGGATCTATCTAGCAACAAAATAATCAGTCTACATTTAGACGTATACTTGCCCTTGGCTTTATTAAATGTTTCTTTATATTTTACCTAAGGAGAGAAAGCAAAATAAAACAAAACCTTTTCATTACTATAAATGTATATTTAAATTTTCATAGGATCTATCTAGCAACAAAATAATCAGTCTACATTTAGAGATTAAAACTAACCAACTGGTTCAATTTCAGTCTATTTTAGCTAATATAATAAAATAATTTGGACAAGAAAATAGATACATAAAATTAGGTACAGTATACCACCTACTAGTGACTTTTAAGACATTCTCCTTCAAAGATGACCTTATAATTTACCCCCTCCTAGTTTCTTACCAACAATTATCTAGAGTTAGGATAATTCATTCAGTGGTGGACAACTAATCTCAGTATAGGTACTTCAGCCAACTTACATCACTTTGATTGACTGAGTTAATCTTGGCCAAAACAATCTCTGGAGGATCCACCACACTTGTAAAGTTAGGATAGTTGTCAAGAGCATCTTTCTTATACTTTATCTGCAAAAAGATAGCGATGATTAAGACAGGTTTACTACTACAGGGTACCTACCCCCAGATGGCAGGTAAGGAGGGAAGGTATTCAGTTAGAAGGAGAACAGGCTTTGTGTACCTTATTCACCATATCCTGGTTCCTGGTAACCCTCACGTGCTCCACAGAATCCAGAGGGATCCAGCCAATGCCTCGGAGCCACTCCAGGTCAGATTTGTAGACAATCTAAGAGCAGGAAGAGAGATATGATGGCGGTATAAATGATTCAGGCACAGGATTACACACAGCAGATTACAAACTATTCTTTCAGAAGCTTTTAAAGGATTTCTCTCTTGTAGCTGTTGTCTCATGGTTTCATCTGAGCAATATTTCTTGAGTCTGTTATTGTGCATGAGGCACAAATATAAAGAAGGAGTCTAGGAGTTGAGAGAAGTCATTTACAAAGTAGAAAGGTTAAATGCTGTGACAGCGAGACTGTTCACGTGCTGTGGGAGTAAGGCGAGGGACTGTTACTTTCAGCTGTGGCCGAAAGAAAAGGTTCACTAAGGAGTTTGTACTCTTAGATGAACTTGGTACGTTTAATTATGTAGAAGTCTGTGGGGCATTTAGACCAAATGAAGGAAATAACACAAGTAAATGCTCATGTATTTGTAGGGAAGGGAGAGTCGTCTCTTCCAGCCCGGCCAATCCTATCTCTGCCCTCCCCACACCTAGCTCCTGGATTTTCCCAGCCTATCCCCCATCAATGAAAAGGAGTTGCAAATCTGATTAAACTTCAACAATAGTCATTCTGCTGCAGCAACCAGTGAGGTGGGATGTTTAAGTTCAGCAGCTATGCTGCAAATGATCTTTGACTTCCTGTTTCCATTTTGGTAATGATGAGAAGACTCAGGTAGGGTTAGGTACTCTGTGCACCTGAACAGCTAAGTTGATGCATCATGTTTCTATTCTGCACCTATGGATGGCTGGTGGCAGGTACAGATCTTGATTCAAGCTTCCATGCAAGGCGGTCAATGACATATTCTCTACCCAGCTTTACCTAAACTCTGCCTGATGGATTCTGGGCCCTCATGCAGCTTAATCAGTACTTTGTTTCTCTTTTGCTTTGATTCCTTGCAAGAAACTCTATCATAAATGCCTTGAGGAATGAGATGCTTGGTAAAGCAGGAACAGAACATTTCTAGGTCCTTCTCTATAGTATCATCCAATACTGTGAAAACCCAAACTCAATCTCAGTTTCCGCCCAAACCAATTATTATTTTAAATCAACTGAAAATTTTCCATGCAAATGTAAGGAGTTGCTGAAGGCAGAAATGGTACAAAAAAAGCAGATTTTTAAAAAGCTGACTTTGAAAGTAGGCAAAGCTATCAATCAATCACTGCTCCTGATTTTTCTCTACTTCATACCCACCCTCAATTCCCTTCTGGAAACAAACTAAATGTTTCTGGTGCAACGTTTCAAAGACTGATGGTTCTGGATACTGCTTGTCATTCTCAGAGTGTACCATGCATTTCTACATAATGAAGAAACAAAAATCACTTACATCACTCTGTAGGTTATAGGCCTTCTTTGCCTGAATAACATCATTTTGGTCAGGATGACAAATCCATTCGTGCAGGTAATTACGGTAATCAATATCACTGACAAGGGACTGTCCTTGCTTGGCAGCCAAGACTGACATTGTATCACCAGGTATGTTGATTTTGGCCTTTGTTTTGTGATAGTTCTCTTTGTATAGTCTGTCATTCTGAATCTGGCCTGCATGCTCAAACCAAACCAGATGAGGATCATCTCTCATCGTTGGGACACCAACATAATGACCTTTTTGCTTTACATATTCAGCTTTGTATTTCAGCTGGTGGGAAGAAGAATACAGATTCCATCAGCTTTGACAAGCACACAAGGCAAAGGGAGCTTGACTACCTGCTAGGAAACATCCACAAATTTAGCCCCCCTACCCTGAGAACAAAAATAAATATGAAGAAATAGCCATTTAAAAATAGAAAGAAAAAAAAAAACTATCTACTTGTTCTCTGATTCTGGCAATGTTTTTTTTAAGGTCTAGAGATTTTAGAGAGGGCAGCAAATACAAGATAAAGTAAAGAACTCACACAATAGCTTTTAAAGAAGCCAAGAAACAAAAAGAAGAAGAGGAAAACCCATGGGAAAAGGGCCAAAAGGGAAGCAGGTACTCCAACCATCACCAGGTCTGCCAAGCTAAAAAGGAACACCTCTAAGGTACTACCTATGCCTTAGGCATAGCTGGAATCTCTTATGGGCAAGGTCCAGCTTTTGCAAAGTGCACTCATATCCGAATACATTACCTCGCTCTGAACATCACCAGAGTGATGGGCGTGGACAAATGGCACGGCATCCGGGGGCAAAATGTAGCCTGTGGCTTTTTGCTTCTCCCAGCCTTCCTTGTAGAGGTACTAAGACACAGAGAGCCACAACGAAGGGTTAAAATGAGAAGTCAGAAAGTAAGATTAAGTTGGGTGCATAAATCTAGAGTTCAATTAAAGTCTCCATCCTCATGCAAAGCACCAGGCATCCAGGTAAAATCCATACCTGGTCCAGTATCCGGGCAGCCTCCTGGGCAGTGTGCAGTAGGGGAGTTTCTGTGAGGGTGTACTTTGATTTAGTGGCATTCCAATCTTTCCTGTATTTAATCTAAAAGTGAGAGGTAAGGAGGAAAGTTACGTGTTGTTAAAAAAAATATCATGTCCAAGCAATTGCTAGTATCAAAATTTCTTTTTTTTGTCATTTGAACTCATATATTTCTGAATTTTAAAAAGTAAAACAATGCATATGTTAAAAATATATCATGTCCAAGCAATTGCTAGTATTTCTTTTTTTTGTCATTTGAACTCATATATTTCTGAATTTTAAAAAGTAAAACAATGCATAGACTTGTGTTTATCTAACAACACCATCAGCTTCTGAAGTAGTCTCTGCAATTAAAATTTATATTTTTGTATTGAAATATAAGAACATTCATACCAGTCATACAAAGAAAATAAATAGCATAACATCTATTTCAGTTATTAAGATTAGTTTTTGCTAGGAAATGAGTTTTTAATAAACATACTCCAGTCATTTTCTTAAGACATTTTGTAATTCAGTAGCTGACATCAAATTTTCAATGACTAAAAGCTGCATCTCAGACAATGATTGCATGCTGAGTGTAAGTAGGGAGAAAAGCTTTGGAAATAATATCTGCACAATTGTGCGATTTTAGAACAATCATATACTTACATCATTGAGGATCTCACCACTTTGTTTAGCTGTCACATAATCAACTCTGTCATCCACAGGAGTAAAGTTGAGAGTTTCTATTTTTGTGCGATATTTTTTCTATAGGAAATAAAATATCCTTTAGATAGTTGTAATTCCTGGTCTTGTGTGAGCTGAGATAGATATACTTCTCTACCGGAAGAACAGAATGCCATAGTTGAGTGGCATCTTCTTGGCAATTTGGCTTTCTTTTCAGCATTTTATTTTTTCAACAATGTATTGGCTTTCTATACGTCCCACAGATTTGAAAGCAGCAAGTTTGCTCAGCTCCCCAACTTATGTAATATATCATTATGTGTATCATAACTCTCAATACATTTTTCCAGCTGGACAAACTTCTCCCAAGTGCATTGCTATTGCTGACAAAAGAAATTTTCTTTATATAATCCCAAGGATAAATGGGTGCTTTGCATATTATATTATGGATGTGATCTCATACTGTGATAGGGACAGTACAGAGTTATTTCGAAAAAATGTCTGGCTTAAATTACAGCAATTAAAATGGTTAAAAATGTTATGAGATGATTGTATTTTGGCTTGTGTATTTTTGTTCAGTCTCTTGGGTAATGTACAGATTAGCAGGGTAAAATCATGGAATACCTCACTGAAGATATCTGCAGCATGTTTGGCATGGTTGACGGAAACAGAATCATTTGGCATCCACCCAATCCCACGTAACCATTCCAAGTCAGCTTTGTAAATTGCCTGTGAAAACAAGCCCAAATAGAATTCAGCAACCTGGGTCACATGGCCCTATTTAGCCCATCCATTCATAAGATGAAGAAAGACAACTTAAACACTATATAAGCCAAGGATGATATACTCAAGCAGCCAGGCAGGTAATGCAAGAAAATTAATTAGGAGGCCAGGTAATATGACAAACTGGAAGATATATTTCCTATGTAAAGAGGGTTAGCCTCAGGTTATTGTTGCCCAGGGGTAGTACACATACAGAACTGCATCCTCTGAATTTGAACAGAAAAGGGAAATCCTGGATTTGTACACCAAAATTTTCTGAAATCTTGGCAACTTAATTCAAAATTTCTAAACAGTGTGTCAGTGAAATAAAGCATGTCTGTGCCTATATCCTGCCCATGGACTGCTAATATTTTATTTCATATGAACCTTGATAGCTATTTAAATTTTATACGAATAATATTTTCACAGTAGTTTTCTTTAACATGATACAATTACAAACTGTGTTCATGCTACGATTTATTTTTTAATACAAGGTCTGGATCCTTCATGGCTTTGGTGATTTTGATACCATACTATAAGGTCTAACTCATATCAAATTCTTTACTATATAAAAATGTGGAATGATGACACAAGGGTTTAATGTCATAAATTGTCTGGGAGTCATGGCAAAATGACAGCAGAGCCTAACCTAAAGTGTAGCTCACTCACATCGCTCTGCAGTTCGTAGGCTTTCTTGGCCTGAATCACATCGTTCTGGTCAGGTAGGCATATCCACTGGTGTAGGTAATTGCGATAATCAATGTCGCTGACCAGGGTCTGGCAGTTTTTAGCATGCAAGATAGAAAGCATATCCACAGGGCTCTGGAACTTGGTCTTCCATTTGGCCCAGTGCAGCCGATACTCTCTTTCATTCTGGATCTTGCCAGCAATGAGGGCCCACCGGATCTTGTTGTCATCCCTGGCTGTGAGGGTGCCCACATAGTGTCCCTTCTGCTTCTCGTGGTCCAGCTTGTATTTGTACTGGAGATGGGAAAACAAAGCAGATGGATCACAGCACGTCCCCTTGCACTGAGGGCATTTGCTTACATTAATGGGAAGTTAAAAAGGCCGCACTCACGTCACTTGCAATCTCCCGGGAGGCCTTGGCAGCCTGGATGGGGATGGCGTCCAGGCGCACATCACAGCTCATCTTCATCTCATCCCAGCCCTCGCGGTAAAGTTTCTGAAAAGAAGGTAAATATCACAGGGATACAGTTTGAAACCCCAGAACTTAAAACTAGTTAAAGAAAAGAAAATAGGGGAGAATCATCCCATGCACCATTGTACTGTAGTGCAATACGAAATAGTGTCCAGAGTGCCAAGATCTGGGCTTGACAAGAATTTTTTCTTTCTAATTTGAATCACAGCCTTGTCGTAGTTGTTCATGGTTTATAATCTCATGGGTAATGCAAAAGGTTCTAGCTTTTTTTCCCTTGTATTTGTGTATTGGTAGCTTTGGGATAAGTTTATACATTAATGGGTGAATATTGACTTTCTTTAATTCAACAATTCAATGCATTTATTTCTTTAATTCAATTCAATTTTGTAATCTCCAGAATTATAAACTTTTTACATTTGTAGGGTTTTTTTTTCCAATACAGCTTTTTAGATCTTCTTGATTTTTGTTTTGTTTTTTTTGTTTTTTAATTGAAACATAATAGATTGTACATATCTGAGGGGTACATACCCATGTGCAATATATGGTTCTCAAATCGGGATAATTGCTATACTCAACATTGCACAATGTAATCATTTTTCATGTCTTTTTACCAATTCTTCCCTTACCCCTTCCCCTCCCCCTTTCCCACCTCTGGTAACCTCACTTTTGTTCTCTCCTTTTGAGAGTTCAACATATTATTGTGATTGTTGTACCTTTATTTCTTTCTTTGTTTTTTTATTTATTTGTTTATTTATTAGCTCCTACTTATGAGTGAGGGCATGTGGTAATTCTCTTTCTGTGCCTAGTTTGTTTTCCTTAACATAATTTTCTCTAAGTTTATCCATGTTGCTATATTTTTATTAATAAGGAGGAGGAAGAGAGTAGATATCCATAGGTAAACATTTTCTGAATTCTCTCTTTCATTTGCTTCAACTTTCATGAAATAACAATATGCTTGTCATAGCTAGTTTTATGTTTCAATTTGGCTGGGCTACAGACTCTAGTTATTCAATCAAATGCTATCTAGGTGTTGTTGTAAAGTCATTATATAGATGTCATGAAAGACTGTAATCGTCATTATGCCATTTTTTCTCTTATTTTATTTCATATATTGCTACACTATTTTTCTTATGCAATACTTTTTGTTTGTTTATGTGGTCAAATATATTTTTCATTTAACTAAAAAAAAATTGGGCTTAAGAATTAACTTCTTCACCTACTAACTGAGAACTAACTTCAGGCAAATTCCTTAACTTAACTTTTGAAAGTCTCAACTTCCGCATTTGATAAAAACGAAAGAACAAAATCTCTCTCATGTGGTTAATGTGAAGATTCAATGAGTCAATTTAACCTGAATTTTCTGTCACCCATAAAAATCACATAAAAATATTTTGCAAAAGTTGTGCTTTCTAAATGATGGAAGCAGTTTTGAATAGCAGATTTTATCAAGTCTACAGTGAGGGCGATACCATGAGTAAAGAAAATGTCTGCACATTTTGGTTAGCATTCAAATGAGATGTTTGATTTCTTCCAAAATGCAAGCCGTTCGCATTGATACCTAAATATCTAAAGTTAATAACTTTACTTTTAGCATAGTTTTGAATACTAGTCTTGGTCATATCATGATATCAGTGGTAGGTTTCTGATATTTTCAGCTGAGTAATTTATCATGCAGAAGAGAGCATAAGGAACTTTCCAGAGTTCTCCTGCCAAAGATGCCTGTGCACTGAATGAAGAGGAGTCTATGCAGCAGAATGTACTG